ACAAAAGACAGTCTCCAAAGACGTGTCATCACAATATCTGTGGTCCGAATGCCGCGTGCCAAGTTTTCTACTTTAACTCATTGCCATGCGGCATTTGAAGCACGGATCTCGCGATGACTCGGGTTCGAATTTCTACGCAGACTGTATTTTGTATAATGTAGCATAAGCATGCAGTGTGACCCTGGCTTAAGAAATCACCAATAAACCTATAGGAAGTATTCACTGGCGGCCATAGCTGTGTGCACGACTGCTGAGCGCGTGCTGATGGCGAGCTTGCACATTTCTTTTGTAACGTGCATTCCGCACCCTCAAGATTGCCGGTCTTAGCAGCCTATTAATGTGGGCTCGCACAAAGCATGCACTCTAGACATCGCCCACAAATATGGCACCCAGTGAATAATCCTTATTGATAAATTACCCAATCATCAAGAAGCATGCAGGGGACGCAGTTGCATGCGCTGCGCGTGCTGACGTTGGCAGTAGCATTTTTTAAGCAAAAATCTAAAACGAGTGGCAGTTCGCACGTGCGTCCGCAAACGCCTTTTTGTTATGACTTCCTTAAAATCCCTAATACAGGTAAGGTAAGCGAGGGCAGCGTGTGTAACTACGTTCTCTGCATGCCTCTTGATGCTTGGGTAATTTAATAATAGGTCAATGGATCATCCTGTAATTTTTTTCACCCCTTCGTCGACGTACTCTACCTGTCAGAGTACATCGACGCCCTTGGATACGGCCATCCATATCACGCCTGGAAAGAACCACATCCATGCCACTCGGGAAAAGAACCGCATCCACATCACTTGAGTAGGGAACCGGATCCATCAATTTAACTACACACGCACTTCACAGCCTACGCACCGCTATTACGAAAACCCAGAGCGAAGAACAACCGGCGACGACGGAGCGGCCACATGAGCACGCCCGCGTTCCACCGCGCCGTGGCACGTTCTCCTCTCTGGCTCCGCGCCAGCTATGCGCGTGACTTTGACGAAAACGAAAGGGCTCGTTTTGACGAAAGCCTGCCGGTGTCTGTCAGTTTCTCAGCGCCGGGGAGAGAGGGAGAGGTTGACGCGGGCTGACGTCAGCGCTTCAGACCAATGGGAGCGTCGCACGTGTCACTTTCTCCCCGTCCTTCTCCGTCTCTCTGGCGCTGACAAATAAAAGACACCGCCGGATTTTCGTCAAAACAAACTTTCTATTGCTTACGCATTAAAAAATGTAGCTAAAACGTATACGCCATTAAGGACATATCAGAGACATCAGGACGCTTTTGGTGATGTTTCTTACTTATCCCTGTGTTTTGTTTTGTTTTTCTCTTTTTTTTTCGGTTGGGGATGCGTTTGGCTAGTAGTGCTCTAAATAGCAGAGCTAACTAACTACCTTGTTCAAGCGAGTCGACTTAGTGCTCTTGATCTGAACGATAATCATACTTTAATGAGCAGTTTGTTTCTTTTATATTTTTTGTCTATTAAGTTTTGAATTTATGGCAAACGTTAAATTCCCAACAGCGTCAAATATACAAAATGAGGCTGGGAATACACAAACTGTAGCTCCATGATCGGAAACAAGGCTGGTGGGGCCATGTGTCGACTGCGTTGGGAACCAATTTGCGCAAGCGGTTCAACCGTCGGTGCGCAATCGCACATGGGAGTAGTTAAAAGCGACGCTTATTTTCTGAGCGCTTTTAGATAACCTGCGTGTCCTCAGTTTCATCTTCTTTTTCCTTTCGCTTACAAACGTATTTTTTATTTGAGGAACGTATCATTCCAGTAAGTCTGAACACGCCATGCATTATAGCTCATAATGTTTTTTTTTAGCTTCCGTTACTTTTTTTTTAAAGATGGTTGTCAAAGCAATTTAAAAAGTAGAATAGTATCTGACAAGAACACAACGTGAGGATCGGCGTGTGCGTATATGCGACAGTATATTGCGTGCACCACAACTCTAGCGAGAAATGTGAAAGCAATGTTGTTGTTTTTTTTCACGTTTTACTCCGTTTTTACCCAGCAGCAAGCTTAACATTCGACGTTGGTTCTCCACACAAGCGCATGCGGCGATAATCGACGACCTGAGTATAAAAGCCACAGGGCGTGCCTTTCGAAAATGCGGCTTTCAGCAAGCGCTGCATGCCTTCCGCCATTCTTTGGCTGCACGCACACGTTCCGGTGTGCACAAGGCGATGAAGCGTTCCCGAATGTATAGGAAGCTCGTACTCGAGGCGAGACAACTGAAGCTCCTTTCTCCCTGCCGTTCCCACGTTGTGAATCATTATAGAGTAGTGTCCGATAACTCGGTTTCAGTTGTGACCAAAAAAATAAGATATTGAAAAAAGAGGGATCGCATGCTTGTGTAAACTGTACGGCACTCCGTGGAATCCGAGCCGATATGGCAAAGGAGAAGTTAGTGCACTGCACCGCTTCCTAATAATAATTAAAAAAAAACTGAGCAAAATATGGTGAGCATAATTGCTCGTGCATTAATGGCAGTGGCGTCCCAAGCTCATTAGACTTTCGTTAGGACTAGGTCCTTGACTGTTACGTAATGCTTGCAAGCAGCGTGACATCAATCATAGCGACGCCGACTGTCCCTCCTAGCTTAATAAGTTGTATACCCAGATTTTTTTTATTTTTTAAATTACAAGTCACACTATTAAGAAGCCTATGCAGAGGCATATTTATGGGTCATGGGGGCATGGGAGATAATGTTGCGACGTTTCAAGTTATTCTTTTTTCTTAATCTGTAAAGCGTTTTTGTTTTTCTCATTTTTCTTCACCTAGAAAGTAAAAGAGGCTTTGGTTTTCAGAAAACGTGGTTTCTGTTTCGAATCTTGACATTGCCTAATTATTTTTATTTAATATCGCTTTGCTATTTTTTTTTACTTGAGTGTTTAGAAACTCATCAACAATATTCTACTACTATAAAGCCCACACGTGATTGCATAATATATACCGCTAGGGCACGGTAGATATTTAACCGCTGGTAGAAAAGATTAGGAACAATTCATTTTTTTTAATCTCTCGACTTGACCATTAATGTAAAGTTTATTCTTACATCAAAAATTATTCTTCAGTTTCTGTTCACAAAAAAAAAAATACCAATGTATATATATATATATTTGTAAATTTGACGGGTCTTGCAAGGAAAGCGTAGAAACTAGGTGCGTGCTCAGTTTTTGAGTGAAGGATAGATTTTTGTTTCCGCGTGGCAGAGCGAACCTATTTAGAAAGATAGCACGTTACTCCAAGTAACAAATATACGAAAACGAACTGAAAGGACTATAAGGTAAGACAATGTCAAGTGTGGAGCGTAAACCGACGTGTGCGACTGTCTGCGCGACAACGGCCGTCTGCGGATGTTGCTACGACACAATCCAGCACACTCTTTTAGTCGGTGACAAGCGGCTACATCTTTCAAGTTGCAATATCTATTTATCCGCTGGTGTCATAAAATATAAGAAAAAAAAAAGAGGAAACCACCGAAACGCATTGGCTATTTGCTACCCCAAGCACGTTACTTGAGGCCCTTACTTGACAGCTCCATGCTTTATTCTCCACACCACCCACGATTTTGACGTGGAAGGCGGAATTCCCGCGATAAAGTTACTGGAAAGTTTCGAATTTCCGACGTTTGATTTTGTTTAGCTATATAGGAATACGGATAGTTTGTTTCGCGTGTTTGTCTATGACTCCATGGGGAAACTACAAGCGCGACTTTGTAGATTTGTCAATAATACTTCTTGCGCGAGCACTCATAGATCTAAAACAATTTAAGCTATTTAAAAGCTATTTTCAAGAATTAAAATGATCTGAGTCTGCCAATCTCGGAGTCCATTCGCCAAAAGTTTTTCTCGGCGCTTCAAAACAAGCAATACGTAAGAATACTTGCGAGTTGTGTCTTATCACTAGATAATCCATTGAATTGTATATTCCTTCTGATTTCGAACCCTGCCACTTTTGTAGGTTTTCGTGTGGACGTAGCGCATATTTTTATATGTGTTTGCAATTTTTACTCGTTCACCAATTTCACTCGACTGTTTAGAACCGTTGATGTGCGCGTTAAGTTTATACGAGAATTTCCTTTCCCCCCGCACTTCCTTTATGAACTTGTTTAAAGGTCTGCAATACTTAAAAATAAATAAATTATTTAACTGTAGCCCTGTAGGACCGTGTCACACGCAGGCCATGTTTCGAAACTTGGTACAAAATTCGTGAAAAGGAGCATAAAGTGTATTCAATAAGAATTAAGCTCACTCATTTTGGTGCGTGACTAGTATATGATATTTTCAACAAAATCTACTTTTGACAAAAGCTCATGACTTTACGCCCTATTTTAAGGACATTATATTGTTGGAATTATCATATATCACTAGTCGGGCACATGCTGGCTTCCCGGTGGTGTCTTCGACAGGTGGTGTGTGGCGTTCTACAACCCATAACGAAAAAGGCATAGTGTCGGGAAAAACTTCTGTGACACGAACATTCGGGCTTTATGATACACGACGCGTGACAACAAGATGTAAATAAAACAACGAACGCATTCATCCTGAGCCTGGGAAAACGCATACGTACACATCAACTATTGGAGACAATGTTTTAGGGACATAGACGACAGTCCGATTTCTAGTGAGCAGAAAGAGGAAGGTTATGAATCAATTATTATGGGAAAAATAAAGCAAAGCGGGCCCTTTGGTGTTTTTTTGTTCACGTGTAACGACGATGCGACCCCGATAACCCCGGTCTCGTAGGTCAAAAGGTAACGGTTAAAAAGAAATCATCTAATTTTTAAGATATGTCAAAGAGTAAGCCATATATCTAGCTCTTATGATTGTGCATGACTGACTCCGCGCTGTGGTGTTACCCAGCTGTTATCAGGTCCGCCACCAAGAAGTGGTGAGCAACGTTGGAGAGTATGCGCGCTAAATTTGCAAATGTTGAGTTTCCATGAACGGCCTCAACGACCGAGCATCTCGCCACGCCTTCAGCGAAGCAAACACGGCTCACCTTTGACATGAAGCTTGAGGAGGACCGATAGAGCCAGTGTCAGCAGCCACACACCCCAGGGTCTCTTTTTAATCCGGTTCATACTGCCCCAGGTTCACTTGCCCGTCTGCACCGCACTTCAGGTGTCCAGTGTCGCGCGACCGTCGCGGCGAAACTGTCCTCGTGTTTCGAAAGCAGCGGACACCATGTCACCACGCGCCGCCGATCCACCACGTGCGCACTCAAGTCCGCCCAACGCGCCGGCGAAAACGACAGGAGAAGCCCAGCCTAACTCACCATGCCTTCAAGCACGGACGACGGCGATCTCCGCACGGAGCAGGGCTGCGAAAGCGATTGCGTGCATCGCGGCGGGAGCGAACGCGTTCCGTCGTGTGCCGGCGCTGACGCGATGTCAGCAGCGACGTCAAGGGTCCTGAGAGGGGGTGGCCGGGCGACCCGAAGCGAACAAAGGCCGACGCGATGACTCCGGCCGTTGGCGGGAGGGCGGGCTGCCGGGGGTTCTGGTCCTTCTCCCTTTCCCCAGAACCTGGTGGAGAAGCCCGGGGTAGAGCGCATGCGTGTAGGTTGGGTCACGTGACGTCGCGGCGGACGACCGTGCGTTTGTTCCGAAGGCGGGAGATGGGAAGCACGTGGTGCGGCGATGTTTGGGCTCCCGTGAGCCTCGTCCTATTTTGATCATCTGTTGAGACGGGCCTTCAAAATAGGACGACAGCCAAAACACGCCGCCTGGTGCGACGATTAGTAGCGATACACATCGTGTTCGTTTAAAGTGGCAGCTGCAGTTGGTGCGGTGCAATCGTGTCGGATGGGCGATCTTTATTGATTGATTTATTTATTTGACTTTTCTGGTGCTCCTAAACAGCTTGTGGGACTATGAGGGGCGCACCATTTGTCAGATAACATATCGCATTGATGCAGAAAGTTTGCTGGAGAAGCAATACAAAGTTGCTGTACATAAAGAAACGATTGAACGGAACGCAGTAAAAAGAAAAATCATTACAGGTAGCGTCAGCGAACTATGTTTAAAAAGTATGCAGTCAGTGTAAAAGAAAATTGCACACACCGTAGTCGATAAAAGAGTACCCGCAATTACATACAGTGGGGTGTAAGCTGTTGTGGCACGGAAGTTGAGGGATAAAAGTTCAGTTTTTCCACATAACAGTTTTGGCTAAAAATAAAGAAAAAAAAAAACATTCATTCGAAAAGGTTTCGGAAAAATCATATACTATGCAGTCGGCCGCGAATAACCTAATATGCGACGGTGTTTTCACAAATACTGATAATGAATATAAGAAATAGCATAGGCCCTAAGACACTTCCCTGTGGTACTCCGGAGGTCACAATCAGTGGTGAAGATATTTTACCATTAAGTAATACAGTTCGCTCGCGAGCGGAAAGATAGTCAGCGAACCAGTTGATGATTTTATCGTTGGTGCTCAGAGATACAAGTTTGTTTAACAGTAGATGATGTGGGACAGTGTCAAAAGCTTTGCGGAAATCAAGAATGCACAATGAACACTTTTTCTGTTTTCTATAGCACTTTAAACGAAATGAGTAAATTTTGCAAGCTTGTAACATATGACTACCCTCGACGAAAGGCGTGCTGTCAGGGGGGAAAAAATGACTAGAGTTTAGAAAACTATATATTAAACTATATAAAATGTGTTCAAACATCTTGCAAGCAATGCATGTAAGCGAAACCGGGCGGTAATTTTTATACTAGATTTTTTGACACAGGCTTAAAAATTGGAGTTACATTTGCTCTTTTCCAGTCAGTCGGAACTAAACCAGTGTCTAATGATTTGGTAAAACAATTACTTGAAAGCACTCCGACTTTCAAGAGCGAGCGAAACCATAAAGAAAAACAGCATTTATCTTGAGCCGGTTGTCATGGGCGTCGCTGTCTTGAACTTGCGCGACGCACTTCGCTGTCAACAAATGTTCTTATTCCTGGACTATCTCCTCCACCCCGGAGACCTGGCACACATATACCTTTTCTTTGCGGAGGTTGGCCTCCCTAAAACAGTATTCACCGTTTTCCAACAGACAGAAAGTCGCAATAATATTGCGACGCGGCCGCAGTAGAATTTTAACGTGTAGGTCGATCGCAATCGTAACCGGACCCCTACTGATATGGCGGGCGCTAAAGTATAGCAGTTTGGGCCGGTTGGTTCATGACCACCTAAGAAGCGCAAAAAGTACAAGGACGAGGAAGTAAACAGACAAGAGCGCACTCGCAACTGGTTTTTATTTGTGAAAACAATCATATATATATATAGCTTCGAACTAACAGAAACTCTCTCCTAAGTTCTTTTTAACCCCCGAAACAAAAAGGAATATTCATTCCCCGATAAGCAAAGGGACGTGTCACTTATGCGTTTTTTTTTTTTTTTTGGCCTTTGCCTTGATTTCGAAGGCCTCATGCAGTTCTCTAGAAACCCTATCCGGGTATCTAGCCAGAAACCTGGTGTCACCAAATGACCGGGCACATAGGCAACGACTGCAGTGAGTGGCAAGATGCCCCGATGGAGTGGCTCTCGTCGCCGCGGCGTGTTCCTGTGAACGATCATTGAAACACCTTCCCGTTTGGCCGATATAAGACGAGCCGTATGGCGTAGGAATTTCGTAGGATCAACAATCCCATTGTATCGAAAGATCCCTGTGATACCAGGCACCGCACAAAAAAACACGGAGTGTACTACGGGTGTTGTCTACGAAATTCCTACGTCATGCGGCTCGTCTTATATCGGCCAAACGGGAAGGTGTTTCAATGATCGTGCATGGGGACACGCCGCGGCGACGAAAGCCACTCCATCGGGGCATCTTGCCACTCACTGCAGTCGTTGCCTATGTGCCCGGTCATTTGGCGACACCAGATTTCTGGCTAGATACCCGGATAGGGTTTCTAGAGAACTGCATGAGGCCTTCGAAATCTAGGCAAAGGCCGAAAAAAACGCATAAGAGACACGTCCCTTTTCTTATCGGGGAATGAATATTCCTTTTTGTTACGGGGGTTAAAAAGAACTTAGGAGAGAGTTTTTGTTAGTTCGAAACTATATATATGATTGTTTCCACAAATAAAAACCAGTTGCGAGTGCGCTCTTGTCTGTTAACTTCCTCGTCCTTGCATTTGCGCTTCTTTAGTTGATTATGGAGGGCGGTTCCGCGCCAGGGCGCGGTGCCACTAGTACTGCTCCGGCGCTCCCTCCTGGCCAACCGAACAGGACTATGTGAACCCGAGGTGCTTTGAGCGACGCGACGCGACCGACGCGGTGACATCAGACGGGGCCGAGGAGGGCGGAAGAAGGGGAGCGCTAAGGAGACGGCATCCTGGTCTTGTTACGTCACGGCTGGCTTATCGAGTGAGGTGCAAGACAATGATTCTCAGTGGAGTTTTACATGCTTTATTCTTTAAATCGCGAGATGAAATTTTGTGGAGACTTCCACTGAGAGGTCCTGGTACCTGCCACGAGGTTTTTATGTAAAACTAACAAACTCCATTTTGGAATTCAGATGTTTTTTTTTTAAAGTTCATTAAAAGAAGTCATTAATCAATCATTTATTTTTCACAAAAGCTGTTTCTATAAAGTCTCGTTGGATATGTTGCTTCGCATATTCGTGAAGATCACCACCGCCAAGCTGAACCCCTTTCAACCGAAACACCGGATGGGGATTACAAGTAATTTCGCTACTTGTAACGGCTTACGAACGAGTATGCACAACAAACCTAGAAGCAAACAAAATGCATTGCGTTAAAGTGGCGATTCTCGTAAAGATTCACAGTCCGAGTCCTCGAGAGCGCTTTACCGTCAGATTGACTCGTCCTAGGACAAATAAACCGCAACTTTATAGCGCTCTGTGTGCTTTCGGGAAACAGAGAAGCAGTGAAACCTCTCAAAGTGATGTCATCTCTCACTAAAAACAGACTGCGATTGACATTTTAAATGCAGCTATACAGCAGGATAAAAGCCTACATGAAGATATGACAAAGACGAAATTGAAACTCCACGAAAAAATGTGTTCAGTACAGTTACATCATAGGTGTATAAACCAGATCACTGAAATCACATATATTTTATTGGAACACTGATTACACGATAAAAAAATAACTTGAGAAATCGATACCAAGAAATTTAGAAATTTTAAATTACGATGTTTCATGTGCTATTCAAGCGTGTGACCTTTCGGTAATCAAAATCGATTTTCTTCTTCCATTCACCTGTAACTCCACGCTGCGGCTCCAACGAAGCAGATTGAGAACACACAACCTATAGAATTGGAGAGACGTAGCTTTTCTGAGAGCTGTTCAGGCCTATAGAACCAGTAAAAAGTAAAGCAAGGGGATGCGATTGTTGAGTTACAACATTGCCCGCGCTGTACCAGAAAGCACCTCAAAATACTGTCTTCTTTTTTTTTAACATTCAGGTGACTTTGAATACGATTTTTCGTTAAAGGTTTTATTTTTTGACTGGAAAGTTTTTGTCTAACCGCGGAAAGCTCGGCGTTATGTTGTGTTTTTAAAAAAAGACCTTTTAAATTTATTTTCAGCTTTCTCCTTCGGTTTTATCGGCACTAGCGATACGTCATAAAACACAAGGGGTTTCGGTAGATATAAATTACAATATTATTAACAGCCATGTCTTGTACCTGTACGGCGCAAGAGTTTTTCCTCACCATGTTTATTTAGTGTCAGACAAGTATGCACACGCAACTGCTTCCTTACGTGAATGACTGACTACAAAAATAGTGCCTACAGGTATTTACATTTAATGTAAAAAGATTCTGCCAGTTTTTAAAATAGACTGAATATTTTAAATTTGGAAATTCGTGATTTTATTATGTTAGAAAAACGAATTAATGCAGGTGTTTAAACCGGAGTTGACGACATTGCACCTGAAGGGACTTTTAGCAAATCGTTCAAGTGTTTCGCGTACCGCACTACCGGAGCCTTTGAAGCATGCTTTTAAGCGTGGGCAAGGGTGATACCAGTGGGGCGCGCGTTTAAGAGCATGCTTCAAAGGCTCCGGTGGTGCGGTACGCTGAACACGGTAACGGTTCGAAAACAGTAGAGCGTTTTAGGGAACCGTTTTTGCAGATCCGATATGGTACGATGAGCTCTACGGTACAAACTGCGCATGGGCTGCCCCAGAAGACTCGCATATGTGCCGTTCGTACCGGACGGCCTATCGTACCATATCGGATGTGCAAAAACGGTTCCCTGAAACTCTAATACCTAATGACATCAACAAGTACCTAATGACATCGATACACCGAACATAAGGAAACAATTTGTTTTCTATTTATAAGAAAGCTTATGATTTTCGTATATTTATAATGTGCTTCATTATTAAAGGAGGTTTTAAGTACGCTTTCCGGACTTTTAACAATGTTTCTTAATACTCTTTTTTTTTTTTTTTCTGGGGGAAGGGGGAGGGAGGGGTTTCGCGTGTTAAACA